CTTGCAACACCATTGTCACCTTGATCGATCATGCATGAACTGTTTCCGGTCCCAAAGACAGCACGCCCTCTCTAGCACACACACACACACACGCACACACACTATCGATTGCATCTTTTGTTTCATCTTTGTTACACTCCTACTCCCGGTTCTCATGGTCGCATTTTTCGTGACACAGATCCCCGCATTGTCACGTATGGACTCTTTGACTCAAAACACCGTGTGGACAGCGACAAATAGACGGACAGAAACATGAGGCAATTATGAAATGTAAGTGAAACTAAGAACAGTTCCGGATTCAAATAAACCTGTGTTGAAATTAATGTGTGTTTAGAATGGAGGTTGACTGCGAGATCCTCGCAAATAGAGAGGGGACGTTAGTGCTGGCCAATGATAGCATCGTCATTTTGTCACGAGGGCTGCAAGTAAGTGCAGTCTGCTATCCGGCCCGTCTACGTTTTTTCGATCCAAGGGCACTTATGACTCTCAACAAGCAAGCAGTTAACGGGGAGCACAGAATTGATAGTTTTCAGTCGGAGCATACCCTGACGAGAATATGTATATAACCTAGGCATACTTAGCATCCAGAGATACTGATGAAACAAACGCGATAAATTCCAAAGTGACTTTTTGACTCAAAACACCGTGTGGACAGCGACAAACAGACAGACAGAAAAATGAAGCAATTATGAAATGTAAGCGAAACTAAGAAAAGTTCCGTGTTCAAATTGAAAAAGATTTTTGTGAATGTGCGCACTTCAAACTTTCCCGTGAGATTCAGCACACGTGGAGGGCGAGGAAAAATATGGCTGCCTGGGCCACGTAGTCCCAAAATAGTAATCTCTGGAGGGACAACACAAAACTGGTCATAATGGTTCAACGGTAATTAGGTCAATCTCATGATTGAAAAATCACTCGTTTCTCTCTCGCTCGCTCTCTCTCTCTCTCTCTCTCAGAAACACACTTACGCACACGAATCGTTACGGTTCACTTCGCAACGTGCACAACTGACTCATTGCACCGTAGACACATCACTCTACCCATTGTGTCGAGCAATGCACTGTGCACGATGCTGATGGTGCTTGTGGTCTGAGAGTTACTGCTCAGATGAATTAGTACGCATGCGCCGGTCATCAGTGTACGACAACTGATTTAACTCGGATAATCGACACACGAGTGCCTCGTTGAGAAGTAGAACAGTGATCGATCAATGATGACCGAATCGATACGGTTCGATAGTGGGACAGACAGTCTGCTGTCCTGAACGCACACATTCTCTGGCATCTGACTGAAGACAAACAAAAGAGAAAAGCCTAGCTGTCATCACTCAACACGGATGTTGGAAATTGTTGGTGCACTAGCTGATGGTGCTCTGAGTCAGTATCCACAGCTATCATCTGTTTATCAAAGAAATAGGTTCTCAGGACAATCACGAAGTTAGCACAGCTGCGATTCGGTATCGAGAGAAAGTTTGGTCCTTGTCCAGTTTAGAGTATTGTCAAACAGAACGCGTAGCACACAACCAAACAGATCCACAGTCCGAGTGGCATGCACGACTGACCACATGCGCAAGAAAACACTGACATATAATGAGAGTGCAGTTTGAGATTTGGATGTTCGGTCAGATCCATTTGCATTCAGGGACGAAGGCTTAGGGGAAGGGGTCAATTATTCCCAAGTGTAGAACGAATGAAAATTTAGACGAAACCTTTTTAAGTGATAAAAAATAGAATTTAAGTGTAATGGGTGGTGGTTGTGCCGTGTCATTAGTCCCGTATGGCTGAAACTATGCGATTTTCGAACTCGGCTGCTATTTCACCTGGTGGTGTGTAAATCTGTCACCCCCGGGGTTGGGTGGAGGGTTCTCATAAGTGAATGGTGGGTTCTGGTAACCATGATATAAGACTCCGTTTTAACTTGCGTAATAAAGAAAATGACAACTAACTTAATAAAATGAAGATGATGTTGATGATGTTTGACTATGTTACCAGGTGTCGTTATCGCAGCCCAGTCCTCAGTTGCTGTTAGAGTGTGGCGTATAGTGAGTAAAAAAGCATACAGACTGAAAACGCAACCACAGCTGCTAAACTGTATGTTCATCCCAAGGGATCACTAGGAAACAGCTATGGTAATTTTTGTCTAGTAAAATCACAGACAAGACCAGATTGCGGGTTTTAGTGTTTTATGTGTGTGTGTGTGTGTGTGCGCGCGCGCGCGAGTGACACGCACTGAATGACACGAAATTGGATCCAGACCACTAAAACTACGAAAGGGACGAATCCGGGACGGAAAAGAATTCCTCTACGATGCCAACTACGAACCTTGTGCGGAAAACAGAACTAACTGAACACTGACACAGATTTATCGTCATCAGCATCATCATTATCATCACAAGACCCCAGGGAGATTGCGTGTTTGAATCTCACTATGGCTTTTTCTTTCACAACCTTTTCTTGCACAACAATGCCAGTATTTTGAGTGTCGACTACAAAAAAAAATAATTAGACTACAGTTTAAAAAAATTGACAAGAATATTATTATTGTATTATTATGGTGAACCCGGTATCATAGGCGCAAGGCCGGCCATTCACTGTGTGGGATAAACAACGATAGCGACAGGTGGGTATAGAGCTCAGGTGACAGTAAAACGAACGAACCTGTACAAATTCAAACGCTGAGTACACTACACAGTTTCAGTTTGTACAAATATTAACCATGCACTTTC